TGACAGTAAAATATACATAAGTGGGATTCTGACTGTTTTCACCTCTCTTCCATAGCAATACTAGTTGGTTGCTGGTATATTGAAGTATTTGAAGTTGAAGTTGATAACCTACTACGAGACTTGAAGTTTTATTTAACTTCAGTCTTGGATAATGCAACCAATATTGGAGAAACATTGACGTGTAATATTTTATCAGAGGGATAGAAAAGAGCATTCCGTTTTTCTCCTTTCATCGCCACCCCACAGCACGCAAGGTGGAAAGCTCTGATCAAATGATCAGAAGAGGCAAAGGGATCGACCAAATGTCTCCACTTTGTACCACATGAGTTGGCGTTGTCTAATCTTCTTGACCATTTTCTGGGTTTGCACGTCCAAATCGATTTGTAGATGTTATGGGGCCAGTAGTTAAAAGAGTTGTAATCAGTACATGCAGTACTGTAATCCCATGAAATCGAATGAAGGTGATAAACATTTTTTTTTTAAATAATGAAAATTTAAACATGAAAAAAAAAACATAAATATGAAACTAGGTTAAAATTTAGAATTTATTTATTTTAAAGTTCAAATAAGATATATCCTTCAACATTGACAATTGTATTTTTAAACAATTACATACAAATTTCTTTTTATTTTCTTAATTCAATTTCGTGAAAAAAAATTATAAGTTGACTTATATGCATTTTCAAGACTTTGTGCTATTATATTTGCCACAACTTTATTTTTATTGTCACGAGAATAAAAAATAAAAAATATTTATTATTTGTTTCTTTTAGTTTTATCACACTTTCTACCTAGTTCAAGAAAAATTTGTATTAAGATTATTTGATTTTATACTTAATTGTGTGACATTTTAAATTGTTTTTTTAAATCAATAAATGAAATATCATCTTAATATATTTTGTTATACAAAAGTGATTGAAATATATTTTATATTTGAGTAATATATGAAATATACTAATCATAAATGTTCTAAAAAAATCAAATGATAAACTTGATAGAGTTTCAAATTCGATCCGAATCCGTTGGGATTCGAATTCAATTTGACATTTTTAAAACTCGAATCAAATTCATAAAATTCAATTTGATATATTTTATTAAATAAATCGAATTCAAATATATTATAATTCGATTGGAGTCCGATCCATTGACAGCTTTAGGGACATGAAAGCTTAATCATTGATGATGCATATTACTTTAGCATGTGCAATGCACAAGATCAATGCATTTTCAATTCATATATGGTTAACATGCATCATTGCTGAAAACTTCAAACCATTATTATGGTTTGATTAACCTTGTGGAATATGGGTTTATCAATATTTGCCATCTAATCTAAGATATAATAATGAGGCCAAATGAATAAAACTTAGTCTAGAAGTTATATCCCCTAATCCTATCATTTCATAGGAAAAAAAAGTTCCCTCATAAAAGTAAATGAATTTTTCTTGTCCAACATTTTTTTGACAAACACATTTTGCGTGAACAACTTCCTAACTTGATAAAGGGTCCGTTTGAAGGTGGAAGTCCTACGGTAAATAGCAAGAAGCATCGCCGTTGCTGCTTCTTGACATTAATTGCCTTGCACACAAAGGAAGATTATATTCTATAGCTATGAGTTCTCTTTTCTTAACCTCATTTTCTTTTTATTTCTCATGCTAATTGCTAAATTCTCATGTTCATTAATTTCTATTGATGAGACTTTCTCCTCTCGGATGGAAAAAAATAAAAATAAAACAAGAAACAAAAAGCTAGTAATTTCGTAGCAATTCCTTGCGAGGTCCTTCATTGTACGGTACCTTGTCAAACGGTGATAACTACCCCCACCTAGAAATTGCTTTATTGCCGAATCTCCTCCTTGATTGTTTACCTAATAAACAATTATTTTTCTCCCTGCTGAGGGTTTGTCAAAGCCAATCTCGTCAACCCTCATAGTGGTATCGTATCAATGGTTAGTGTTAGGAAGGGGACAGAATTATTACTATAATTTATGAAAAAAAGGGGGAGAATGATTACATCCACTTATCCTCTGTTTGGATAGGGATAAAAGTGAAGGAGAGGAAAGAAAATGAGATGAAAATGAAAAATTTCTACCGTTTGGATTATAGAGGAAATGAGAGGAAAGAAAAAAAATAATAAATAAATGATATTTTCATGGGACCCGTTTTCCTCCCAATTTTGGGAGGAAACCGAAAGAAACCTGCAGCTGACTTTTCATTTGGTTTGCTTTTTCGTTTTTACCCTTGCTTCATCCATGTGACAAGAAAACAATAATAATAAATTCTAATTTTCCTGTCATTCCACGGGCTGCAATGGATTAGTGTAGCTCTAGAGTTTATTTCAATTGTTTTTTTCTCCTTTTTTTTAAATTAATTAAGAAATATTTTTAGATAAGCTTTTAATAAATCAAAACTAAGTGTAATTTTGTGTAGGAATAAATTATACATTGTTACGTACAGTTTCGAGAAACAAATTATTTAGTTATTTCTATTTTAAAAATTAATAAATTAGTTTTTTTTGTCTATTTTATATTTTTTATATTTATTGTTTTTCTATTAAAAAGGAAAAATAAATAAATAAATGTTATGAAAAAAATTAATGAGAATAAAAAATCAAAATAAAAATATAATCCTAAGGGCATTATAGTAAATATACAATAATACATTTTCTTTCCTTTCTTTTTCTTTCCACTCTTATCCAAACAACAAGTGAAAAATGATTTTCTTTCCTCTTCTTTTTTTTTTCTCTCAGGAGAAATTATCCAAACAAAGGGTTAAACTAATAATAATGATTACATCCAACTTAAACTAATAATGAAATCCTAAACTGAAACTCGCTACCCACACCGGCCAATGGGAAAAGTACTTCAGTCAGTGTCAATCAGACAAATTTTCCCTCTTATCATTTACTAATTATTATTTTACATCATGAAGATATCATATTTTAATTTAATTAGAGGACAATTTAGAAAGTATATATTTTGAGCATCGTTGTAACGTCATGTCATTTAAAACCATTTAAACAGTAAAATCAATTTATTTTTTTTTAAAAAAGAAAATAAGTATTTTAGGATGATCTGAGATATCATTTAAAACCAATGGGAAAAGTATTTCAGTCATTCTCAATCAGACAATTTTTCCCTCTTTTCATTTACTAATTATTTTTTTACTTCATGAGATATCGTATTTTAATTTAATTAGAGGAAAATTTAGGACGTATATATTTTGAGCATCGTTGTAACGTCATGTCATTTAAAACCATTTAAACAGTAAAATCAATTTTTTTTTTAAGGAAATAAGTATTGTGTCAAAGCTAAAACATAGACATGGATATTGTAGCATCTGTCACATACTAGGTTAATTAATGCAACAAATTCACGCGTTATCTACTATGTGAATAAGAAATTGAAACTTTGACTTCCAACTTTTTCAAAGTATAGCTTCTTAAAGCATTTAGGAATTTCTAGCCGACACATTCCTAGTACTATACGAGGAAACCACATCCAGGATTTTTGAGCTGGCATCGTTCCTAGCAGAGAAGCAAAAGGTCGCATCAAAAGTCCGACCCTTTTCTCGGTAGGGACAGCAATCGGATAAAGTTGTTCTTATGTAAACAGTATCGTCGAAACAGCCACTTCAGTTGCTTTAGTTGTTCTCATGTGAGCCGCGTGGGAAATGATTTTGCCCTACTTTTGGCTAAGGCATTTTAAATCTTCAATAATTGTATTCTGTGAGTAAAAAAGACGCGCGGAGTCTGTGGACTCCATATATTTAAGCTTTTATCGTTTATTAGCTTTGTCTGTTTTATGGCACTTACGTACAGCATCGAAGTATGCACTGGACTGGAAACTTCAAATTATGGCTGCTACTGCTTAATCATCGTTTTGTGTTTTGTTCCTGTTTTATCGCCAAGTATAGGTGGTAGCGTGAAATGTGACCACGTAGGATTAACAAACAAATCATGTGGCTAATCCTGCACTATCAATGTGAGTTGAAAGGCTCCTGCAAACTCTGTCCTCCCACGTCAGAGGGAGTCCTTCCACATTTCCCAGACCAAATTAGTCAAACACTCTTTTTGAGAAGGCAGTGAATTTTTTTTGTCTCAATTGACACCGGAAGGAAAGCAGAGGTCAATGGGCAGGTATAAAGAAACAACTGAAGGGAAATCCACCGTATTCATATTTCAAATTTAGATGTCATAATGATGCTTTCACATGTGAAGCAGAAGTTAATAAGCAGGCATGAGGAACAACGGAAAGGGAATCCACCGTATTCAAATTTCAAATTGATAGTGATGCTTCACATTGCCTCCACATTTTCAAGCTAGGTAGCGGTGTTGTATTTTTGAGAGATTATTAGCTACTTTGTGCATTGTTTTTCCGTTCACATGAACGGGAAACTCATAGTCATCAACTCACCATAACGAAGTCCACTTTAATAAGGGGACAGTACACCGGAAATATCTAATGCTTTCTCCTGTGTTTCATAAATATTAAGATCCTCCTAGATCCTGCATGTGTGAAGGCTAAGGGATCGGGTTTATTTGTAACATGAAAAGCAAAAGGGCTGGGAAATTTTTCCTAATTTTGCTCTACTAGTTCAAACTCTTAAAGGGACAGATGTCACACTAAGCTCAGTGAAACTCCATTTAAAAAAATAAAAATATAGTAAACATTTATGAAACTATAATAATACAAGGGTGATTTTACAGATCTGCGAACAATTACAATCTCAAATATAAATAAGTTCCTCTCGCATGCAAATACTTTTCGTTCACTCGGTGATGAAAGATAGTCGTGCAGTTATCTTCCAATTGAAGCTATTCAATGAATTACTCTCTGAAGATTGGTATTTATGGATGTGAACTCCTCTGCAAAACACACTGAGTACATTCCACTAGGTCAATTCGTAGAACTGGCAGCTGCCAACAGCATCACGAGCTAAACTATATCCAAAATGATTGGATTGCAACACATCCTGACAGTCCCGTTTCTAACTTGTTTCTCATGTAGGATTCCAAAGTAATCTGCGAGACTGTGCAGGTGGGGCTAAACCTGGAATATCCCGAATATCCTTGTTGTTTGGGTTCACGAGCTGAAAAATCAAGGGCAATCATAAATAAGGAATATTTTACAGAAATACCTAGGCACGAACAAATAATGCTGCAAGTGAGCTAGTCAGCTTCACAAACAGAGTTTTGAAAACCTCAGAAAGGCACAGGATTTTGTTGCGTGTAATAAGCAATCATTTAGTGAAACAGTAGCAGGTTCTCACAAAAAGGACACTTTCACCATGAAATCAATCTTAAACGAAGTTGAACTCTAATGTAATTTAGGACACTCTTCCATAATAACTTCTATGCAGCTAAAATTTTGAAAATCAATTTATAGACTGCTTCAACCAATTGAAAGATCCAAGTTTGTAGTGTATGTCAATAAGAATTTAATTTGATCGTATAGAAGTTCCTGTATCTGCAGAGTTGTTCCTGGAGTAATGGAGGCTGAAAGATGTATAATAGGATCTTAGAATCAGGGTCTTAAATGTAAGGTACTTAATATTTTCTGAAGTGATGGATGAAAATGAAACCCCTGCAGCTTCCGTAATCCATGAGATTTCTCATGCAAATAAGTAAGATAACTAAACTTCATGCAATGGTGAAAATTCCTTAACAAATGAACTCCATAACAGCAATTTATGCAAACTCCTGCTGAAGTGCTAAACTAAGGTTAGGGTGGCTTAGATTTGGCTTGTTGAAGCAAACCTCAGCTGCTCATGAACATGTTTCAACCCTAAATAGAAAATACAACAGCCCAACACGAGGTGCAAGTATGATATTGCATGGGGGATTTCATCAATTTGAAAGGTGGACTACTTCTACACAAAAAACTCTTTGTGATTTCTACTCAGCTTTTACTGATTTGAGAACCTAACAAGGTCAACCAAAGCTTAATTTATTACTAGGAGGTTCCATTTGAAGCACAAAAGATGTTATGTGGGAAAGATAATATACTAAGACACCTCCCCACGGCCGACAACAATAAAAAGCAATTAGAGCGTGTCCATGAAGTTATGTCTGGATTAGGTAAAACAATCAGAGATTTAACATAATTTAAGAACAGACAACAAAAGCAAACTTCCATTGATTAGGAAATATAATTCAATTAAAAGAAAACAAGTGGATGATATACCTTCACTATAATGGTTGCTATGACTCCAACAACAATAAGGAAGAGTAATGCCATAATGCACTTGTCAGTTGCAACCTGGTGGAAAAACTTTCAGGTAAGTAATACAAATTACTACTAGGCCTGCCATACGAAAGAAAAAGAAGTGGATATTTTAGAAAATGACCTGCCTACCAATTTCCTTCACCAATTGAGAAGCTTTCTTGATCGAGAAATGGATAGAGTCGAGCTCATTAACAATCCTACTCATTTGTTCAGTCTGGACAGAAAAATGATTTTAGTTTACAGGCCATTGAAAAATAAAAGATTTTACCTTTTACTTTTCTTTTAAAAGGAAAGTGAAATTAGGTTAATTTTTCGAATGCCATCAAAGTATGTACCTGAGCCTTAAGAGATGCTGCAGTTTCTGTTCCAACGTTGATGGTCTCTTGAACAACCTAGCATAAAATAGAAAAAAATATAAAGGTCAAATATCAACCTCATGAAAAGGTGATAGTGGTAAACATTATTTTTTGGCCTTTTACAAGGACCCAATCAAGGGAAATTAGGTATTGAGCTTTCAGATTATCAAGAGGTTAAGAGGAAAGCTCATGAATGTCCACCTATTATACTGTAAAAATATCAAATTATACACTGGCTTCTCATGTCTCCATAGATGGTGGTCCTCATATTAGGTGAAGTATAAAAGTTGCAAAGAATCTTTAGCCAACTTCATTATAAATGAAGCAATCCATAACAGAACCATAGAGGTGAGTGACTAGAATCTACCCTATTTGGGTGCAATAGCAAGTTTGGAGCTTCTAAATTAAAAGAAGTCTGGATTTGAGGTGCATTGGAAAAAACTTCTGATTCTGATATGTTGGCAATGAGTTAGGTGTTGCGGTAATTTGGAATATCCATCAAATGGTGCATGTCACTCTAATCTTATAAACATTGCTTCAATTAGGAACATCAGATATTACTTTCTTTTCTCCTTTTGATTTCAGTAACTGGATCATTTTAGGTCCGTTTCAGACAGTCCATATGTAACACTATCCTTAGTAAATTGAGTCACATTTTTACCACCTGCCTTCCAAATCAAGTTTGAGGCTTTAAGCAACTAAGCTTTTTGTTTTTTCCTTTTGATTTCAGTAAATGAATAGCTTTATCTAGACTGCCTATATGTAGAGGACCTATATTTTTACCACCAAGTTACTGATTGTTAGTTAGCCCATTTTGCTTCCCGGGATACTGCTTAACCATTCTTATTTGAAGTCTACACCAAAGAATACAGGATCCAGATGTGATGCAGCAACTCTGCACTGCCTCGCATCACAACCAGTTTATGGGAATTGGGCTACTGTAACTGAGAACTCTTATGTGTTAAACATATTGCTAATGGAAGAAATCTCCTTCATGTGTATAAATCAGTTCTCCTGGAATTTTCTGTTCTAGATATTCCCCTATTTCTATTGGAAGAAGAGCGAAAGGATCTCTCTTCAGGATTGAGGTGTTTTCTTCTTTCTTTCAATCCTCACTAAAAGGTAGGACTGCCATCCAAGCTTTGAGGCCAGATGCTGATTCTGTACCAAACCATGAAAGTCAGGTGCAAGAAACACAGTACTTTGAGAGAATTGGCTATAACTTTCCAGTCAAAGAAAGATTATATGGCAAGCTGTTAAAACCTCTCATTGGCAATCTAACTCTGAAGAGGAGAGGTATCCTGAAGATATTTTTGAAATTGCAGTACCTAAACTGGTAAGTGAACCTCACCAAAAAAGGCTAGAGTGGAAGAGTGCATGAATTGCAAAAGGAAAAAAAAAAAAAAAAAAAAAAGAGGGTGTCACAGAAAATGGACACAAACCAACCTTTTTTCCCCTCTCAATTGCCTGATCAGTCTCATCCATCATCTGATTTCCATGATCCATTAGTTGTTGGTTTGTCATAGCTGCAAAAGTAATATAGGTTTTATCTTACAAGCACTTCAACAAAAATCAAATTATAACACCTGTCATCCCATTCATTTAAACATACCAATCTGTATCAAATGCAAGACAAGATCAAGAAAGGGAATGAATTGGTATATTGGATCATAACAGAGAGGAAGAACGCTTATTTGTGAAACAAGTTAGTAAGAACCACTATAGATGGCTCCTTGGAGATGGTGACTTTCATGACCATTTTTAATCATTCCATTAGAAGTTTCTTTCTTTACCTTCTATCGCTCAAGTGAAAAAAACAAAAAAAAAAAAAAAACAAAACAAAACAAAACAAAGCAAAACTATACATGTCAAATCCCGAAGCAAATCAGACAGCTGCAATTCATAACTGTCAAATTCAATAAGTTTGAAGATCTCCAAGGAGAGCACCAAACTCATTCACAGCCTTCTGCTAGATCATCTATCAGATTTCACCTGGGGCTCTTCCATCTAAATAACAGTCACCATTTTATGTTACACATTCTTCAAGTAAAATAGATTTTCTAAGAACCTTTTGAAAAAGGATTGAATGATTTATTGATAGCTATTCTGAGCAAGTCATCAATTGGTAGAAAATCTGAAGCTTGGAGTAGACAAACTTAGGATGGAATGCCGTAAAACATATGAATCTCAGGCACATACAAACCAGTTCAACATTATACCCACAAAAGGCTTGAAGCAAATGAATGATAAATATGCATTTCCATTGCAAAGGAGAGTGGATGGATGCACTAAAAAGGTTAGGGTGAGAAGCATAACCGTTATCATGGCACCAACAAAGATGGCTCCAACTTAACCCAACTCTACAAAAAAAAAAAAAAAAAAAAAAAAAAACTAACTAAATCCTACTCTCACGAATTAACGACAAGGTGAGAGTTAATATTCATCTACTCAAAATGATAACATGTATGATGTAGGTTGCCACTAATATCAGACATCACAGTGAATGCACTGCACCTTCAAATACTGAAACATGAACTGCCCCTGGAATGAGATGCTAGGTTCCACTGCCTAATGTGCACCCTTAGTTTTGACATATGGCATCTCTTAGAAAGAGGAAAACAAAAGGAGGGGGGCAAGAGTGCATGGGACACTTATCCTTCCTTGGATCCTCTCAGTAGTCCATTTCTTGACTCACTTATGCCTTTACAATCCCCAAGCAACTCTACCCATTTAAACAAACTCAAAGTAAAAGGAATTGGGGTTGCTAGATGAAGTGGTGACATTTGGGAGGCAAATATAAGCAGTTCATGAAGGAACAAAAGATCACTCTTACATTTTAACTTACTTCCACAAAAGCGTTGACCAAAAATAAGTGGTGGTGTTTCTAGTGATGTAACAAGATCACTTGTACATTTTAAAATTGTTTTGGGTGAATAGGTGAGTGAGCATTGTTTGGGCATACTCGCATATTTATTGCCAGAGCTTCATGATAATATTAACATAGAAAATAATGTTAATTGACACAATTACTAACACCTAAATTCAAAACTTCATTTGTTAGCATTTAAGATCCTTGTATATCAATGAACAGATTCATATATGGCAGAAAAGGTCATTACTTACACGAAGCTAGCAATGCATTGTCATCATGTAACTCTTCATTAGGCCCATCAAAGAGATCGACTCTCTTGTTGTTTTCGAGATTGGTTGCATATCTGTATCATCACCACACAATAATGTCAAAACAGAGCAAACAAAGGATTAGAAGCATGACGACAGATTATTAAACAGTTGTTAATAGGCAATATGTAAAAGAAATCTCTAATATTTTACAGCAACAGAAGTATTCTTGCATAGAGAACAAAATCATTAACAGGAAAGGTTACCAACATATTTTATACAGAAAAATGTGAACAATCATGTAAGGATTCTATCCTTCAAAATTCCGAGAAAAAATCCCATGATTTTCCATTTTGTAGATAAATAAATGAATTCACCAAGAATGAGAGGCTATATATTATTCAGTCATTTCAAATGGAACTGAGACAATGGTACATTTAGATCAATTCAAAGCCAAAATCATTGACCCTCCAAATATAATTTGCTAGTTGAGAAAATGTCATGCAACTTAGAACAAAGTCTCATCATTTAGAAAATCATGAAATGTCTATTTCTAGTGAAATCTGTTTACCACTAAAACGAGCCATAGGCATACCATGAAGAAGACTTGTGGACCAAAACTCAACTTGTCAAAATAAACCAACAATCAGATTTGAATATCGTAAAAAGAAATGTGGAAGGAAAAAGCACAAACACACTCACACCAACAAGGGAAAGGCATTATTTATCAGGACAAATGATGATGCCAATTTACCACAAGCATCAACAAATTTGAAAATGAAAATTCAGAAAGTGAAATTGAGCTAGTGATAAAGGCCTGGAGAAAAAAATCATTATCCTGTAACAAAGAAACAATTATATCATTGCCTACTTCACCCCGAAGAGAAAAGAAGACATCAGTTCGTCCAGTTTTAGTAGTAAGAACAGGAGTTCATTGTTTTGTTCATGATACTGTCTCTTGGTGCCACACTAAACACAGATGGAAACTTCTAAACAGATGATCAACTTACTGCTTTTTAAGAGCAACATATGAATTCAACTCTTTGACCTGCATAATAATGACAACAACATTCAAAAACATTAGACATTCAAAGGGACACAAAAAAAAAAAAAAAAAAAAAAAAAAAGCAATAACATAACGAATCAAACTCTTGATAAATCTGAAGCCCACCAGTGACTGCCTTTTTTCATTCAGCATTTTGTTGGTGTCTGGATCATTTCTGCTCTCCATATCCTTCACTTCTCTGTCAAACTCTTTGATAAGCCTGAAAAACAAGGGACATTATTCTGTTTCTAATTCTAATTGAGTAGAAGGAAAGAGAACAGATAAAAAGTAAAAATACAGTGTCAGCGGTATATGTCCTATTAACCTAACTGTATGGTATGAGATGTACAGATTGTAGATACCTTCTCTATAGACTTTTAGATTCTTGAGCATATCAAAATATTAAGAACTCAGTTTTTAGGGTTTACAATAATTGCTTTATCTATGCGCTTAATAGCCATCCTATATTGTAAAATTGTGATAACAGGAACGGAGGGGACTATAAAAGAATTTGAGTTTCACCATAAGAAATAAGTTGAAGACACATGTATAGGAACCCTAATAAAAGAAAAACCAGTAAATAAAATTCTATAGTTGGTCAAAGACTCCCAGAATACTTAAATTATACCATCTAATTTCTCACAGAATCTAAGAAAACATATAGTACTACTGACTTTATAACAGCCCTGTATAAAAACATGATTTTCTTTTTCCTGAAACAGCGCATCAATGTTTTGTGCTAAGGTAAGTTTTTTGCCATCATTTAATAAATCCTGGTTCTAGATCATCCCTAACAAAAATCAGCATAATTAATGATCGACCCAGCCACATACTGTGTTCATTCAATATCAAATTGGGAATTGTATTCAGTTAATGCTGAATTGTTAAATGCACACTAATAACAAGCATATAAAAAGAGAGATAAAGTGAAGGTTCATTTTTTCCAAATACCTCTTACACTCCCGCATCTTCCCCGTAAGTTCTTCCAACTGCCTACTCTGCCTATTGACATCCTTAATCTTCTCCAATTTCTGGAACCCATTTCTGCAACAATAACACACACAAATTGCATTTCACTATTAATTAACACTAACCCACCAATAACTGCCAATGGCTTGCCAATTTTCTGTAGAATCAATATCAATAAACCAACTAAATCAATAACATTAACTCATATACAAATCCAATAAATCTCCGGCTTCAAATGCCAAACCATTCTATTAACGAAAATGCAAATCTTATATTCCAGCTTTCATTAATTTGATAATTTCAAACACTAAAGCTAGATGATGAAAAAAAATGGCAATGTAAATAAAACCTAAAACTTTAATGAAAGAAACAATCTTCCACTAATCTATTACATCAAAACGGATGATACTGTAAAGAAACGAAGGAAGAGAAGTTAACAGAAAATCTTACGATAAAGCTCGAAAAATATCGGCGATCTGTCCGTTGATCTCTGCTAGCTCTTCACTGATTGACGATAAAGGATCCATCTCTGCTAATAATTCAATAACTCTCAATCCAAATAAAAAAAAGATTCAAAAATCAAGCTCAAGTGACGAAAATGAGCTCGAAATCTAATCAAATCCGATTGTATTTACAAATGCAGAATAATCTCTCGGAAACAAGACAATGCATTACGCACAATCCAATTGAATCTCGAATCTATATATGCATAAATGCTACGATTTTTCAATTGGTAACTGAATAATGTGGCTTGCGAATTTTGAATCGAAAAAAGAAAGGAATTCAAATTCGCGGAATTTGGAATCCTGATTAGATCCGTACAATGTAGGCAAAGGAATGGATCGAGGAGATCAAGATCGACCGGTTTACGGTTTCTCTCGATCTATAAAAAGAAAACTAAATCAATGATGTAGAACAAAAATGTCTCCTCGTGATATACAGACAATTTCCGTTTGCTCTTTATGTTTTGTTTTTGTGCTGTTGCTTATTTTCTTGCTGTTTTAAGGTTTTATTATTATTATTATTTGCTGCGTGGACGACTGGGCGGAGGTGTTTGGCTCTGAGATTTAAAAAAGGATAGACTATGTTTTTGCCCTTATAGATTTATCAATGCTCCACTTCCTCCTATATTTAAAAAGTTTTCAATTTTATCTCTATAATTTTTAAGAAGTTTTAATTTTGGCCTTTACTGCTATACTAATTAACTTTTTCATTTTCTTTATTTATAATTTTCTTACTTTTTCTCTCATTGTTGCCTCTCAAGCCCACACACATGGTATAATATGTTAAAACACAATTAGAAATCTAAAAAAGAAACTCAAACAAAAAAAAGTAAGGAAAATATAAATAAAAATACGAAAAAGTTAGTTAGTATAGCAGTAAAGGTCAAAATTAAAAATTCTTAAAAATTATAAAGATAAAATTGAAAGAAGTTTAAAATATAGGAGTAAGAGGAGCTCTGAAAAAACTCAAAAAAACAAATTTTAAAAAGTAGGTACTTTGATGCTTAGGGATAACATTGGAATCTTTTGAAAATTAAAAGGGTAATATTGGACAATTCTTAAAATATTAAGGGTAGAAGTGAAACATTGAAGAATCTATTGGGGCCAAAATCAAGTTTGCCCTTTAAAAAACTTCACCATATAGAATTTGTTTTTTGGCCGTTTAAAGTTTAAACCGCTAATTTCGGAAGCGTTTGGATGCGTTGGTGGGGCCTACCCGGTACTTCACGCTGTCGAGTATTAGTATTTAGTAAGCTCTCTTTGTTTTTCTGTTTTTTTATTTTTTATTTTTTATTTTTTTGGCAAATGCTAATGGGTTTGGCTTAACGTTTGACTTTAAGAAATTGCAGTGGGCTGGTCTAACACACTCTTACTTGGACCTGACTAGTAAGATTTTTAATGCCTTTTTGGTGGTTGGACAGTTCAGGTTTTCAATCACTATATACAGTGTCGGAAAGAGGATGGTGCAAAGAGGCCAAACTGATCGGAATAAATAAATTCTTTTGTATAGACATTTACTAGTTTTACAGTGTGTGTGTTTTAAGGAAAGTTGCCCTGGTTAATGAAAATCTTACTGTCTTTAGTGACATATATGGTTATTAAGTCTTGCAGCAAAAAGATAGGACAAGTTTTATTATAGATTTGTAGTTAGGGATAACAATCTGACTCGTTCTGCTCTGTCCCATTTGATGCAGGAATTGTACGTGACATATCGCCTTAAACGAAACACGAGACAGGAATGAGATAATATTTTTTGAAGATGGGATGGGGGTGAGGATGATCATCCCTGTCCCACTCCGTTATCATCTCTACTATTGTTATGGTTACATGTTTCAAACAAATCTATTTGGGACGCCGCTGTTATTAATTAGATTTTGCCGAGATAAAGATTTTGTGACTAAGCGACTAGAGAATTTGCTGCTAAATAGGGTTTTTCAAATATTAACTTTGATTGAATGCTTTATCCTTAACCATTGAAACAGTTATTTTCTTTTTTCTTTCTTTCTTTTTCTACTCCCCTCCAGTTACATTGTTTCCAACATATTATTTTGCTCAACGTAAAACTGTAGTAACTATTTGTTTTTGCAAAGCACCCCCATTTTTCAATGGTTTAATCTCTTTTCCAATTGCATCTTGGCAAAGCAAAAGGCCTACCTTTCAGTCAAGGTGCTTCCTAAACACATAATTTGTCCAAATTAAACAGACAAGCAAATCATTTTCACCAAACTAACATCTGTATTAGCATTTTATTTTTTTTAATAAATCCCTTATTAAAAAAAAGAATTTACAACAAAAACTATTAAGATCAAATGTTTCCATTTGAATTCGAGGATGGTTGTTTGCCAATTAGTCTCTATTTCCAGTACGTATAATTTATGACAAACAGCTATTTCAAAATCATCCAAGAATGGAGTAACATAGTAATAGCTTTTGCTTTTTTGTAGCAGCTAGGACTTGCAGGCCCAACCTGAAAAGGGAAAGCTTTTTTGAATGCTTTGAGTGAGGTTACTGGCAGTGTTTATTTAAGAAATTGAGGCATTCTGAAGCTCAGAACAAATAAGTTGGCAGTGATTTTGTTACATGGGCAAATCATCCTTATCTGTCCTTTCGGATTCTGGTAGTTCGAAAGCTCGTCATGCTTCTAATAAATTGCAACATCCTAACCCTCTCACATTGACCTAACTCACATAATTAAAGGTTTAGTGGCTTCTCTCTGCTATACAAATCAACTTCGAACAGCTTCAAATTACTGTATATATTCCAGTATTTCCAAACAGGCAATTTTAAGTTGATTTCATTTAGGCTTTGAGTACCAAAAGCGTAGTGTTTTGTATTTTGTATATTCGTCATCCGATTTTCTTTTTAACAGCAAAATATTAAAGGTCCTATGTTCACTTTTTTAGAATGTTGTTTCATGTCAATTTCTAAATGTCAATTCTACATAGCCACTATTTTTAACAACAAAATCTTGGGTACTCTTACCTTGAATTTTTGTTTGAAGTTACATTTATTATTTACCACTAAATAGTTACTGTTAAGTGCTAACATTAACAATATTTAAAAGAGTCTTAACTTCTAATTTTCAATCTTTGATTTTATTTGTAATTCACTAAATAGAAAATATCCATCAAAAGAGTAAGATGTTATTTTATCACACTTTTAAGTGTTTAACAAACACATAAAAAATTAATTTTGTCAAATCACATGAATCAATTTTTCTAACATGTTATTAAAATACGTGCCAATACATCAATAATTTTTTTTTCCTAGTTAAATTAGAGATATTCAAACACGAGACTTATCGAATAAAAAAAATGTCATAATATAAATTAAATTAACCTACAACTCATTGACGAGATATATATATATATATATACTTTCTTTAACTGTATGGATTTATTTAGACTCACCAAATCTAAATACGGATTTTCTAACTATAAAAAGTAAATATGTCAAGTTAAAAAAGAAAAGGCAGATTTTTTTGCATTCCCCAATGCTATCCATTAAAAAAAAAAAAAAAAAACTCCTCATAAATAAATCAGAGGACCTAAAATTAAGGTTATATTGATTTTAAATTTTACAGTATTTACAACTACGAACGAGTGTCTTTATTTATTTTGCAGTTTCATTTCATTTTACTTACAAAAATATTATTAACGTGGCGAGTTTTTAAATTAAATTTAAGGAATTCGCTACCTAGTTATCTAGCCTCTGGGCTCTGGCTTATTGATAATAAATATTTACTTATGAAACTTGTAATAGGATTGAGCCGAAGAACTAATTTGCCTTTCCCTTCGGCTTCGTGGGATCCAAGTGAAAGAGACAAGCGCATATTTGTTATTTCTCTTGTTGCCTTGTGTGGTTATGTACCATCCCACGTACGGTTCTATGAAATAAAAGAAAAGAGCTGAGCATATCAAGCAACGTTTTAATTGTTGTGAATATTTTCGAAACCTTTCATCCCACGTTGTTAAAAAAAAAAACTTTATTAATAGAAATATATTAACAGATAGGTTCAAATTTTTCATGATATTTTTGGATTTTGCTTCCACTTTATTCTAATCAAACCAGTTTAAATTAATCTATAAATATCACCTCTGCTATCAGTATCGAGGCAAACAAAACGAAATCCTCTTCATCTTTGCTTCATAGTTCTTTATTGAGTTTTTTATTGTTTTTACTGTTTTTACTCTAAGTTTTAGTTTCAAAACCATTAGTTTTATCTTGAGATACAAAATAATATATTTAAAGACAATAATTACATGACTCCAACTATATCTATCTTTTACCAGCCCTTTTTTTTTTTAACAACATTAAGCTATGGAGAAACACGAGACAACTTATCTAGCCAGGTCCACATAGCCAACGGTAAGAGTAAAATATTTTCAAACTTCGAACTGGAGATCCTAGCAGCTAGCAGTGCAATGAGATTTTGTCTACTTAAGGAAAAGATGCTTTATAGTTTTGACAGCCTTTTCGGGGCTTTGCCATGGTAACAAGTTTTCATACTGACAGGGAATACTTCCTCAAAATACCTGCTCAATTTGCCATTGATAATGGTGTAGTTACACGATATGCCACGGGGTCATCAGCTAAAATTTGAAACGAGTGCCACTGCATTAATGTTGCTATTTGCATAGGGTTGGTGATGTACTGATGAACCTTAATTGAGTGCTTATTTCCATCCAATCAAATTACTTTTGAGTCATGATGAATCTGATTAGATTGGAATACTTATTGCAACTTGGAATGGGAAACGCCCACCAATTCATTTATGGGCATTAAAATGTTGAAAATATCTTCTTTGAAGGACAATTCTCATCATTAACAAGCTAGCTAGTAATTAGTCTCATGGAAGTTCCTTCCTTAACTCATAAGTCGTTTGATGGACCCTTTCAAGTTTCAATATTTTGATTCCATTTCAAAGAAAGATCAACAATTAGAATTTTGATTAATTGTGCATGGCCGAAACTTAGTAAATGACCGGAAAGAAGAAGAAAAAAAACCTTCGCAATTCACGTTCTCGTTTGGAAATCCGAACGTCATGGGCATTTAAAGGGCACTTGTTAAAGGTAAATTCTATTACATGGATGTATGTCATAAATTAAGAAGACGAAAGTAGATTCACATGCCAAGCTGTCTATGCATCAATTAATTCAGCTAAAATTTAGGAATACACAGGCGTGGATTCAATCAATTCGAAGCTCAACTAATTCATTTATAAGAAAGGAAATTAATTAATCATTTCTCATAAACAATCTCAACTAAAATTAGTGTTCTCTGATTTTGATCAACAACGCTTGAAAACTTGCTGGGGTACTTGTCGTTTAGCTATCCCAGTGACTTGAGGGGATCAGTGGATCACTACTAAAATTTTAGTATTTGCTATCGAGTAACCATGTTACATTATGAATCGAATAAAATAAAATAATTTAATAATTTTTTTATGTTTTCATAATTTTTTATTTTTAGAAATATGATTTTTTTTTATTCATTGATTTTTAGATAAAATCTTGTAATAATTTAAATTGAAATTCTTAAACAAACTCTTGTAATAACTTAAACCGAAGTATTAATCAAGCATTTAAAAAAATTAAAAAATATATTTTTCATAAGAATGTATTCAAAAAATAAAATTATAATTATTGTATAGACTTATATAAAAATTAATTAAAAAAATTGTTATTCTTGTTTAATGTCGATGAAAAGATTATTTTTTAAAAGTATGTACATTTGATCATATGTATTTATTTATAAAATAATGAATAATGTTATCATAAAAAACTGTATTTGAATAATTGAGTGGTTCCTATAAAAAATTATTTTATTTAAATTTTTTTTCTATAATATTAAAAAAATATATTCATAGCAAATAGTTGATGTTACGAGTGAAAATTTACAGTTAATTTTTAATAAAATCAATGACTCTATAATTTTTTTTTATATGTCTTTATCATACTTAATAGACTGAGATAAATTATCTGAAATATAATTTTAACTTCTTAGATTAAAATAATTATATATTTATATATATGCAATTATCATTTAAAAATTCTAAGAATTCATGATATATATTATATCAATTTATTTTTTTTAAAAAAACATTCATGCTTTAAAATTTTATTCTAAAATTCAAATATAGAGAAAAATAAATTATATCTGTCAGCAAATAAAATTTTATGTAAAAGAAAATACTAGTTCGATGAGAATTTTTATAAGAAATAATAAATTTAAAGAATAAATTTTAAATAATAAGAGTAATATAATATGAAATATATGTAAATTTTAAAATATAAAATGATAGTATAAATAATTTATTCTGGCCACGTTGCGTAAAAAGCATAAATAATAACTTTTGATGATTCATAATTTTTGCCTAAAAATTCTTAATTAAAAAAAAAATCAAAGAAAAGAAGGAAAAAAACAAGGACCAAGCCAGTGTTCGTAGGCCTCATAGACCAGGCTTGCGTGCTTGGGCCTGGGCAGGAAAAAAAATGAACGATTGTTTTGAATTTTTTGTCGACCTCTGTAATTTTTGGCAAACTCAATTTTGTCATAATAGCCATTGAAAAGTTAAGTTTCTTAATTTTCGATCTCTTAAAATCAAATTCAAGTCCATTTTTATGTAAAAACACTTCAAAATCACAAAAATAACGTAAATAAACTTGTTTATAACATCAAAACATATTTTAATGTATACTAAACACACAAAAATAAAAATAAAAATAAAAAATCTTAAAAATATTTTTAGATCTCGATCTACCTTCTCTGATTATTTTATAACTTGTTAACCACCACACACTAAATATATGCTTTGAGACAAACAAAATAATAGTAAACTCGACTATTGAGATGGCTAGAATGATATTTGTTAGCTTTTTTCTCTTATTTTTCTCTACTTTTATCATGCAAAAATCAAATTGAAAGAAAAATAAACTTACAAATCCAAAAAACATTGTTTTAAAAAAAGAATCAAAGGGTACGTAAGTGCACACTAAGGAATAATAATTTTAGATAAAATGCAAAGTCAATGAACAGTAAAATAAGAAGAGGTGCAGAGTGTCGTGTACGTTGATTTTTCAACTCTTTTAGTATATTTAGCTACTGGCATAAACAACGAACAAAACTGATCGGTGTCTCGAAGGGCTTTCTTGAGAAAACCGTACTAACATTCAATTCAATAGATGATAGGCCACAATTGTTAAGACCTGTGATACAGGGATAACACATTACCTATAAGTGGTAACTCCCATTCCGTATTTGTAGAATAATGGCATTGAGTTTAAATTCGTATGCCCGATTACTATTTCCTACTTTGAACGTAAAGGCTTCGATTTGTCATAGAAGATGCCTATGGCTCAAAGCCAAAGAAAAAATACCTACACTACACACCCTAAACTTAGGAGTTTCATTAAGATACAGAACCCAATTTCCTAATTCTATACCAAAATTAGGACCATCCCCAGACCCATTATTATGAACAAAGTTTACCCATGTCGAAAACAGCCAAAGAAAAGACACGGCCATCTTTGTTCCCTCCATCCCTTCCACTACCCTTGACACACGATGATACAGTCTTCACACCAATCAAGATAATTTATTTAATTAGAATTGGGTACTTCAAAACCCCACATCCCTAAAGAGGTAATTCCCTTCTGCACCTAAAAAGGTGTTGTACTCCATTTTGTTACCAAAACTGGTGACTAAAACAAATTCAAAGCACTCACGCAAATCTTGAAGGGTCCCTCCTCATTGGCTGACCCATCGCTCCGCCTTTTTTTTAAAAAAAAATACAAAAACCTGCTAATATTTCACAAGCAAATTTTAACTTCCCTGTTTCAACAAACTGCGTGTTTTCTTTCACTTAGTGGCTTTTTGCCTTCTCTTTCAAGTTCCTTTCCCTTTCTCCGTTCCCATTTCTCTCTCAAAAAATAACGAAAATAAGAGCCTCATTTGCAGACTGATTTACGGCATCTGTATGTTCTCATCCTAGAAGGTTGGTTCTTTTTGAAATGCATGTATATTTTAAGTTTAAGTAGCATATATTCAGCATAAATTTTTTTATGTGCCATCCATCCCTTCAGTGTGTATGCTTTTTATGTGCCACCATTCAGTTAAAACCAAAAAGTTCTTTTCTTTACTGGTAAAACACACACTGTTTTATCTCTCAAAATTAACCTGTTGTTTTCATTTTGCTTGTCATGTAAAACACACTCTGGTTTATCTCTCAAAATTATCCTGTTGTTTTCATTTTGCTTGTCATCTACAATTATGTGATATGTGATTGTTATGTTCTTTTGCTTGTTACAATATGTGATTTTTTATGTACTGATTTTTCTTTAATTCTTGATTTAGTTATAAATACAAGTCTCTGGTTAATACTGTGATGCTTTATAGCTATATGCCAAAAAAAAAAAAAAAAAAACCGCTCTTCTGTGGGTCATAAACAAGAAAAAAGAAGTCTTTTCCTTTGCTTCTTTCTCTGCAACTATTTGGTGGTAACATAAAACACATACTAACACGCATGGACTCTTCAGTGTCTATATTATATATGTGTTTGTGTATGTAAATATACTAACATTTACATGGGATTTTTCTTTTGGTTGCAATATATGTGATGTTTTATGAACTGATATGTGTTTTGTTGGTTTAGACATTTGAAAGGCCAGGACTTTTAACTTGGTGCAATGAAGAAGTTTGATTTTAGACCAAGGACTCGTCAGCAAACAGAAGCTGAGATGTTGAAGAAGCTTGATGAAGTGAAAAAGAAAAGACAACAGGAAGGAAATGCCACGAAGTCACAGAGATTGGGTCGACTAGGCGAGGTTCAAAGGGAAAAAACAACTGAACTAGTCGTATTGGATGACAGTGAAGATGAAGTTAAGTTCATTGAGGTACGTGATAGAGGCGAGTGTATGAAAGGGAAGGAATTTGTTTCGCTTGACGACGACAACGAAGATGCGGATCAAAATGATGGCTTGATTGCTGGAAATGTGAAGCTTGTGGAAAATGATAGCGATAGCGATAGTGATGGGTTTATTTCTAGGAGCAAGATGGGTGTAGAAATAGAGACAGATGAAAGTTGTTATGGGGTGGAATTAAGTAGAGAAAAAATAAGGGAACAGCGGTTTCGCAGCCGTTTAGATTCGGGAACAAGAGTACTAGGGAATTGGATTTTGATGCTGATAAGAATGAGGATGATAATGACAGTGATAATGAAATCTTTGGTATTTCAGAAGAGGATGCAGCAGAAGGGGAGTCTAATTCTGATAAAGACGATAAAGATTACATCGATAATTCCGATTCTGAGGATTCTGAAGTGGAATCATCTGAGAGCTCTGATTATGTCGAGGAGGTCAGTAGCAAGGAGGAATTTGGGGTAGAAGAGGATGACGAGGAAGATGAGAGTGAGGTTAGATTGAAGGGGAAAGGAAGTGGAGTTCTACTTAGTAAGGGAAAGAAGGATGAAGATGATGATTGTGGAGACAAGGATGACTCATTTCAAGGTGGTCGAAAGGCTAATTGTGTGGCAAAACGTACCACAGCTCATCATACTTCAGAAGCTGGTACGCAAAGAAAGAAGCTTGGAAGAGTACCCCGCCCACTTCGTGTTGATGTTCAGGATCCGCATGATGATGACTTTATTTGTGTCGACGACGATGGGATTCATCCCAGCAGTAAGGGAACTGGGTCTCAGAAACGGAAAATAGGTGTGCAGGATTTGAGTGGGAAACGATCCTTTAAAAGAAAACGCAACCGTGCCTGCAAAGAGGATGAAGTGATCAGAATTCTTGCGGATACAATATTGGACCAGGCAGAAGCACCTTTTGAAGAGAAAAATGAACCAGTCGAGGAGACAACTCTTCCACTGAAGTTTACATTCGGAGTTGAGGAGTCAACTCCACCAGAGAAATCCGAGGAGGAGAAGGAGTTGGATAAACTTTGGGCTGAGTTTGACTTAGTGCTTTGGTCTCTGAATTCGAATTATAATGCAACGGTATATGTTTGGCTTGGTGTTTTTGTGTTCATTAACTTCATTCAGTTTTATTGGAAAATGCGGAGTGTTATAATCGTCTACATAATGAAACTAATGCTGTTTTATGTCGATCAACAGGATGAAGATGCAGCTGACATTTCTTCTGAGGTGGAAGCTGATACAGCTACTCTTTGTTATCAAGGAAAACATCTTCTCGTTCTTCATGAAGAAATTGGCCTTAAATGCAAACACTGCTCTATTGTGGATCAGGAGATCAGATATTGTGTACCACCTTTCGTAAGTCTTAACATATTACTCATGCTTAGGTCGCGTTAATTAGCATACTAGCCTGATAAATGATACTTTTAATTACTCAAGCCTATTGAAATATGATATTTTACTGAAATGATGGTTTCTTGTGTTTCAGAGTACAAATCCTTTTGGAAGATCAGCAAGGAGAGGCCATTCCACAATGCAACATGACGTCCTCGATGGGTTTAACCATCAAGACTCTGACACTCAGTCTGATTGTGATCCCAACAATCATGCGCCAGGCACTGTTTGGGACTTAATTCCTGGAATTGGAAAGGGAATGCATGAACATCAACGTGAAGGCTTTGAATTTCTGTGGAAAAATATAGCTGGAGGGACTAGTCTTGATGCATTGAAGGAGAAATCTAGTTCTAGTGGTGGGAGTGGCTGCATTATATCACATGCTCCAGGCACCGGAAAAACTCGCCTAGCGATAGTCTTTATCCAGGCTTACATGAAGCTATATCCAACATGCAGGCCCGTGATTATTGCTCCTCGCAGCATGCTACTTAGTTGGGAAGCAGAGTTCCTGAAGTGGGGTGTTGATATTCCCTTTCACAATTTGAACAAGGAGAACTTTTCTGGTAAGGAAAACCGGGCTGCCATGAATTTTCTAAAGCGACTTAAACCTGGACAATGCAGTTCAGCTTCTATCCGTATAGTGAAGTTATATTCCTGGAAAAAGGAAACTGGCATTTTGGGTATCAGCTATGGACTTTTTGAGAAGCTTGCTAGAGAAGACAAGGGAAAGAGAAGAGTGCGTCATATGACTGAAGATGACCAGGTGAGGAAAGCCCTTCTCGAACTTCCACATCTTATAGTTCTTGATGAAGGGCACACACCTCGCAACAAGCAGAGCCTTATCTGGAAAGTTTTGTCAAAAGTCAGAACACAGAGGCGCATAATGCTCTCAGGAACTCCCTTCCAGAACAACTTTGATCAGCTTTACAACACCCTGTACTTGGTGAATCCCAAATTCGCAGATGAGATCTCTTCCAAACACAGTAAAGCTTTGAAAAAAAAACACGGTCTCAAGGAAAACGAGTCAAGAGGGAATTGGTTTTCTCTAACGAATGCGCTTGGCAAGGTTATTGATGATGGAGTGGAAGATGACAGACTAAAAGAGGTCAGAAAAGTGATTCGGCCCTTTGTTCATGTGCACAAGGGTACCATTCTTCAAGAAGAACTTTCTGGGTTGAGGGAGTCTCTAGTTATTTTAGAGCCGGTTGGCTTGCAGAAGCGCCTCCTTGATGGTCTTCAGAATATGAAGAGGCAGCTTACTTTCAATTTGGATAACTGGATTTCTTCCGTTTCTGTGCATCCTTCTCTATTGAAGGAATCAGGTGAAACAGAAGAACTACAAGTTGATTGGGATGAATTAAAAAGGCTCCGAAAGAATCCAAATGCTAGTGTTAAAACTCACTTTCTTATGGAACTCATCCGCTTGAGTGAGTCTACAAATGAGAAGGTTCTGGTATTTTGTCAGTATCTTCCTCCTCTGAACCTCATATGCAAACAGCTGGAATCCCAGTTCGGTTGGGCCAAAGGGAAAGAGGTTTTGTACATGGATGGAGCTCTTGCCACAAACAAGCGTCAATCATTGATCAGTCATTTTAATGATCCCCAAAGTATATCCAAGGTGTTGCTTGCATCGACAAAAGCTTGTTGTGAAGGGATTAGCCTTGTTGGGGCTTCAAGAGTTGTTTTGCTTGATGTCGTGTGGAACCCCTCAGTAGAAACCCAGGCCATAAGCCGTGCTTATAGGCTGGGCCAAGAAAAGGTCGTGTATGTTTATCATCTAGTCACATCTGGCGAAGAGGAAAAATATTGTCGTCAAGTTAGGAAGGAGCGGCTTTCTGAGTTGGTGTTTTATTCAGCAGACAAAACAGGCAATGAGAAGAAAGTTTCCTCGGATAATTCAGATGATCCAAAGGATAGATTTTTGGAAGCAATGGTGGAGCATGAGAGGCTCAAGGACATGTTTAAGAAGATAATATACGAGCCAAGAGATTCTAGTTTGGTCAAGTCTTTTGGTTTGACAGATCTGTAGGAAGCTTCCTCCTAATATTTTGTTATGACATCCAGAACTTAAAAGTTGCATTGTTTTTCTTTTGGGTTTAGAAAACCTAGTAGTACGTCTGCAAGTATCGAACAATGTTGATGTGTAGGTAAGCACTAGATTGCGACAGAGTGCAGGATGACATGTTTCATTACTCTGCTTTGTAGTTTCGAATGTGATTTCAATTTGCTTGACTTTTGCAATGGACAAGAATGATGGAATGACATGTTTCATTACCCTGCCGTTTTGTTACTCGCTGCTTTGTAGCTAAGCACTAGATATGACTTGTGTTCTATAGTTCCATGACTGCTATGCGTTTGTTATTTTGTATGTGATTTCAGTTTTCTAGACTTGAGCAATGGACACGAATGACGGATTGGCAAGTTCAATGTCCCCTATGCTTTGTTATTTTGAATGTGATTTCTATTTTCTGGACTTGTGTGCATTGGACGAGAAGATATGGAGATATTTGGCAAGCAAAATAAGGAGATAAACTGTTGAGTAATGGACAAGAGAGAGAGAGAGAGAGAGAAAAGAGTTGATTATACTTTAGGTGTTCAAACTTGTCAATTTGTTCAAATATGACTGTCGTTTTAAAGTGCTAGGTGAAAGAAGGAAGCAGAAAAAGAGGAAAAAAAGTTTAAAGGTGGACATAAAATGCTAAATAAATGCTCCAAAGTCAAAAAAAAAAAAAAAAAAAAAAAAAGAGCCCATTTTTGCAGGACAGGGAAGCATTCGTGACATGTAATCTGGAAAATAAAACAGATCAATTAACAGGATTAACTTAGAATTAGCATTTGAAAAAGCTCCCACACTTTAGATAATACTCCCAAAGCCTTTAAACCACTTAATCAAGTAAAAGCGAAGTTATATTTTAGTTCTGCGAATTACATTTTACTGTTAAACAGAGAGCCCGGCTACGAGACACAGCATTTCCCCTTTCTTTTCTTTTCTTAAACATGAACGTAAAATGGATAGTTTGGGTTAGGAAGGTCTCTGACTCTCCCAGTGCCACTTTAAGATATCTGTAAGTTGATGATAGAGTTTCTTTCAAGAAGTCAAGATTTGCCATTACCAAACCAATTTATTTCCTACTCAAAGTTTCAGGACAAAATCAAAGACGCTGATCCTGATAGGCCTTCATAATGGGTTAAAAGCAGGCTTCACATTGGGTTAATGGGCCTTCAATTATGCTGGCCTATCATACTGTAATTAGGAGTACTTTTTTGTAGGCCAACATTTAGCTGGTCCATGTAAAATCAAAGAGAAGGCCAGCCTTTCCGTGCCATAATCGTTTAACATACTCTCGCTTCTTTTATTATTATTAGTATTATTGGTATTATTGTTATTTACTATGTTTGGTAATGTGATTGTATTATATTAAAAAATATATATTTTTTAAAGTGTGCTTGATCTGGAAAAATATCAATTTAAAATTTTTTAAGTGATTTAAATGATTTTGATATATTAATGTAAAAAAACACTAAAACGTTTTCAATAATACGTATTTTTACAAAAACACTTATGTCATGGTACCAAATACATGCTAAGCCTCGATGATAATAGTAATAGATATCCATTGGTTAAACATTTCATCAAAAAGATATTAAAAAGGGAAATTTTTTTACCAAAACTGCACCAGTTAACGCACCAAAAATTATGATTACAATTTATTTTTTATTTAAAAAATATTCAAACAGGTTTACATCCTTTCTTTAGAGCAGGTCCAATGGCTAAACAAAATGAACAATTTTTAATTTTCAAGACTGCAAAATTGATATAATTTATACCTCAAATTCAAATATTAGAGTTAAGAGTTATCCTCCCAAAATGAAAGGAAACGGAAGAAAAAATGAGGACGGTAAATAATTGAAATAAAAAATAAAAAAACCCCACCCCATAAACGGATTTGGGCCCGGATGGGTGTTTTAATTCTCAGCCCAGTCGTGAACTTGAACCTTTATAATAAGGAAGCAAAGAAACCCTAGCTAGGGGTTCCTCATTTGTTGCCGCTGCTTTCCAGTGTACGACCAGAGATCCTTCAAGGCATCCACCATGGTATTCTGCCTCTCTCCCTCTCTCTGTATCTTTTTTATGCGTTTGGCTGTTTCCGCAGATAACGGTTTCTAATGTCATTGGAAAGGTCGTTTTAGCTATTTTATGGATTTAATAGGTTCGGATTTGAGGATTGTAATTAATTTTCTTGATTTTAGTAAGTTTAAACATTCAGAGGTTTTTGTTGATGATTGGATTTAATAATTTTTTAATTACTTCAAAATTTCTGATTGTAGTTTTTTTGAAGTTACTAGTGTTTTTTAATGACATTTTAGTTGTAATAGAATTAATGAATGGGATTTCTCTTACAATAAATTGTTATTCGTTTTTGCCTTGGGGATTTCTTAGTTGTAAGAGTTGTCTATTTTGGTCGTTGATTAGAAGTTGCGTTTCGGCGAACTTGAACTTTTTAGGATTAATGCAAAATTCTTGATACTTTGTTTTTGGAGGTAAATGTGTTGTGCGTTTTTTGTTTTGATTGCAGACTAAGAGAACTAAGAAGGCCGGGATTGTTGGAAAATATGGTATGTGTGTATTATCACTTGAAACAATCTTGTTCATCTTATTGTCTATAACTGTAAACAAAAAACTACATGTTTGCGCTCATAATCGAAGTGAGGAAACTTTGACTTAACTTAAACATCATTCAGATAATTTAATAGTAACATATATTGCAAATATTTATGGCTGTATGTGGATTGATGTTGTTCTCCCACTTTAATATTGGTGCATTGTTCTTCTAGACTGCATCTATAATGACATGTGTGGATACGGAATGATTCTACAGGACAAGAATCTGATTCTTAGTATATTGTCTAGTGTTTGATTTGGAGTTCAGGTTCTTGGGTTGAAATTTTCTAGTGCTTAAACTTGATTCTTGATGCAGGTACCCGCTATGGTGCCAGTCTGCGTAAGCAGATAAAAAAGATGGAGGTTAGTCAACACAGCAAGTATTTCTGCGAATTCTGTGGGAAGGTAAGCTGCTTATAATCATGCCAATCCTGTTTAATATTGCAGCCGGACAGGTTGTGTTAGTGTGTGAATCTGTGAAGCTTATCGCTTCTGTTTTGCGTTACGTGATGGTTGTTTTCTTTTCTTATAATCTTACGCATTACTGCAGTATGCTGTGAAGAGGAAGGCTGTTGGAATTTGGGGATGCAAGGACTGTGGGAAAGTCAAAGCAGGTGGTGCCTACACATTGAACACTGCTAGTGCTGTGACAGTGAGGAGCACAATCCGCAGGCTGAGGGAGCAAACTGAGAGCTGAGCTGCTGTCAAGAACCCACTTCTTAGGATATTTGTATTGTTTTCTTAGATACAGACTGCTTGGAAAATGTTTTTGAGGATGTTTGATCCATTTGCCCTATTCCTATTGTGGACTAGTCCTGTTTTCTGGTTAGGCATTGGAATATATTCCAGAAGATTTTGGCTTTTAAGATAATTCCGTTCTTCTTAATCTGTGTTTCCATTTCGCTCTCATACTTAGCTGCATATCTGCTTTACAATTTTGCTTTGGGTTGATTCTTTTGAAGAATTGAATGAAACATACACCGGTGGCACAATTTTCAGCAACAGTGTGTAGTTATTGAGAAGAAAACAGGGTAGTTCAATTGGAGAATATTGGTTGGCTAATTTATGTAGTTCTTTCTGTTTCGAGTGCCTGCTTCTCGTCTGCAGTAGTAGTGATGTAGTCCAAATCTGCTAGTGCACGTGCATATGAGCCCCTAGTTAGTGCAAGAGGAAAATTGAAGTCATTTCCCAAGGTATAGAGCAGAAATTACAGTTTTAAATAAAGATTGTTATTTTTTTTTTAATTGTAATATAATGATGTTGTATTAAAAAAAAACAAAATACAAAATTTTTTCGTTCTTTGTATGATATTGATATATTGGAAATGTTATTAACAATTCGTTATGATAAATGAATTTAACTATTATTATCTAATATTAAAAATATTAAAATTTTAAAAATATTATTATTTATTGATACGTTGAAATAATAAAATTATTAAAAATATATGAATTAAAATAAATTTATTAATAATTATTAATGTATTTATAACATCGACTGTTATGATTATTTTTTTACCATCACAATAAATCATATTCTGCAATCACAATCGTTTTTTCTGTAATAGTTTCCTGGGTAAAGTCTGGATGAAGTATCATCCCTCAAAAGCAGAATTGAGCACTGGTTCCCTGGAATTAACTTCGATGCACAACTATGCTGACAAAAATAAAAAAAATAATTCATGGATCAAATTCTGCAGAGAGAATGGGTCCTTCAACTTCTCGAATAAACCACTCATGATAATGCAGCATCATTCCACGCAAGAAATACATATATAAGTTGAAAGATTCAGGCACACCCTGTTGTAAATTAAGTTGCCATCCCTGACATATAAGCCTATTACACAACCTTCATCCTCCTACTGACCTATGTACATATTATCGAGGCCACTGAGAAAAGGAAGAAACCATCTTGCTTTCCAATCAGTCATAGCTTCTACTGACTCAATGTTGTTCCACGCAGGTACCAAACACTTGCATCATAAAAGGATATTAAAATGATAAACAACAACAACATTCATAAGCCTCTTACCAAAGTATATACAAGGTATCGAGACCACTAGAAAGTGGGGGAAACCATCTTGCTCCTCAATCAGCCATCTCTTCTGGTGATGCGGTTCCAAGCAGGTACCAACCACTTGTATCATACATTAAAATAAGATAGAAAATATTCAAACTCAAAATTTGATGTAAATGCAAGAGAAATAGCAAAAATGTCCTTTCACAGCAGTTCCTTGTCCCCTTTCAGCTCTCTTCAGAATGTTAAGCTGCAGCATTCAACTAATAGAAGATGCATGGTTCTAAAGAAGCCCCAAAGTCCTTTAAGATTAAACAAAAGAAGTTGGTACATCATCACTGTTCCGGTGGTGCATTTGTCTTTGGACAGCCTTTACTGCTGCAACTCTTGCAGCATTGGCTGCTTTGTTAGCAGATGCAACAGTTTTGTTCACCCTCTCCTCTATCCTTGCCACATCATATGCTTTCTCAGCAGCTCGTTTTGCTTCCTGTATTTATGACAGTAGAAAGTAAGAAATAGGATAGTAATTTGTTCAAAGATACAGGTAGTATATGGTTTATTAATATGTAACTCATTTGTTCAGTATTAAGCAGACTTCAGAGAAAAGCCCCAGCATCCAAGAAGAAAATATCAGGTAGAATGAGGTCAGGTCAAAAGCCACAAGGAACTAAAAATATGAGAGATTATTAAGTGCTCCTGATGCCATGCTCCTCCACTCACATAAAAGTGGGATCTATTGGCAGTTATTGTAGCGAGTCCCACTTTTACGTAGGCATAGGAACGATACACCATGATTGCCTAATTTCTTATAATATGCTTCTCAGGTTATGGCTCATGGCTCACGAAGTGCTTGCAGCTGGTGCAACTGCACTATCCTTAGAAACTTCAAGCAAGTTAAATCATACAACAGACCTTGGAAGTTATTTTCTAAAGAAAAACCAAAGCTATCTGCTAGCCAAATGAAACCATAAAAGGGAACTAGTTATGGTTCATCAAAAGCAGAACTTGCACACAGGGTTCAATCTTGGAGAATTCCATAGTTTACATGCCTCGTACAAGACAAACACTGTAACATATGACTGGTCCCGTGGATCATGTTGACCAGAAATTAACAGCTGTTTGAAATCCTATTATAACTTGCATTGATGTCAAAACTTAACATAGCTCATGGTATCCAATATTTTCTTCCGCATGTAAACTCAAATTACAAACACTCATTCCCTAAACTGAAATATTTTCATTAATTTGGTTTTAGCTTTGTCCAGAAAATCTTAACAGAACATTTTTTGACCAAAAGGCAAAACATGTGGTTACCTGGACAGCACTAAGAACTTTAGGATGACTAATAGCATTTGGAGATTTAGGATTGCCATTCTCTGCAGTAGATACATCAAGAATTGCATTTTGCCAGTGACCAAATTGTGTTTCTCCATTTCTGAAAGTGTACACACCAAGCCCTTGCCTCCTCCCCTCATGCCATGCTCCTTCATACCAATGTCCATTTGCAAACTGATATACTCCAAAACCATGCATCTTATCTGCAAAATATTCCCCAGCATATGTGTCCCCATTTCTGCTTAATAAAGAGCAAAGAAGCCAGTTTTTATATTTTTGAAATTTAAATTATTGATTGCTCTCACGCAGCATAACAATGATGACTGTATGTTCAATGGTAAACAACAGAACAAAGTTACACATCAAGTCGATACAGTAATCACTAAATTATTTTTCATTTTGATATTTCAGAATCATTTTTGTGGAAAGTATAGGATTCAAGAAAAAGGAATTTTATAACCACTTATTGGGAATTGAATTGAATCACATATTCAATATTTTTTGTCTCTGCAAACTTAATTGTTTGAATTGATAGTCCTAATATTTCATTGATTCGGCACACCCTGCTTCTGCAGCCCTGAACAAAACAAGTTCTTTCTACTTAAAGATCCTTTAGTAGACCAGTGAATTTCAAGAATGGAACCATCTAAATCGAGATACACCCTATTAATTTAGCCCCATACTCCCACATATACATGTATAAAGCTAATTAACAGTGTCTAAGGATTCTGCACCTAAGAAAACCAAAAGCAGAAATACAACCCCAAACAAGAACAACAAGAGAATTTAGGACCAGATTCAAAACGATACAGCAGCTAAATAAAACAAATGACCAAAAACTCCATAATTGCACAACTCAATGATCAAACAACCGAAGAATCTAAAACAAAAACACAATAGTTCAATAATATGTGCTTGCTCAAGTTTTTATTCCATCAAACACCAAGCATGGATGCAATCAGCTAAATTCAATAGACAAGTGGCAACATACCAAAGGGAATAAACCTTAGAAAACCAACATTAACTATCAAATCAAGAAATTCAAAGATTCAAAGAACAAAATTTACCTGAAATGGTAATGGCCAAGCCCATGCTTAACACCCCACTTGAACTCCCCAACATACTTACTCCCATCCTCACAAGTATGAATACCACACCCATGACACTGCCCATTACACCACTCACCAGCATAAAGATCACCCGTGTAAAACCTATAAACCCCAATTCCATGCCTTAAACCCTGCCTATACTGCCCTCTGTATCTGCTCCCTTTAGCCCATGTTTCAACTCCATAGCCATCATACTTCTCATCTACCCAATCACCCTCATATCTCCCACTCATATAATAGTAATAAACCCCACTCCCTGAACATTTCCCTTTATGAAATTCACCCTCATAAACATCACCATTACTATAAACCTGAACCCATGATCCCGAATAAGGCTTGTTGTCTATTTTTGGCTTAGACCCAATTGACCACTCCACAGGTTTTGAAGCTTTTGTAGGTAAAATTGTTGACTTGAACTTATTTGGCAATGAACGAGCTACAAGTAAACGAATAGAAGGCAAGCGAGGAAGCACAAGATTGAGACATACTAAAAGGGTAATTGAGAACGCAAGAATGAAAAGCAAATTTATGATAAACAAGCGATGAGGATTTGATAAAAAGAAGTAAAGAGCAGGCAAAATAATAAGAATCAAAACCCTCAAATGTACACAAAGCAAACGAGCATGGCTGAAATGGAAAAAGACTTTGTGAGCTAGAGTCTCGATAGATAATTGAGTAGTAAATGGGGTAGTAATAGTATTCAAGAATGTTTTTTTATGAAAATTTGATTGGTTAAGGTTTCTATGGCGAGAGGAAAGTGTAGGAGAGTGAGAGAGAGAGGAAGGCGGTGACTGAGCCATAATTGTTACTCTCTTGTGGGGTGCCGAAATAAGAGGTTTTTGTGTTGTTGTTTCTGTTGAAAGATTATTGAACAAGGTTTGGTCTTGATCATGGTAAGATTGAAAGTAAGGTTGGTGGGTCAGTAGTGGTGGGTTTGGTGATGTGGGTGGTGAGATTTGAATTTGAAGAAGAGGTTGGTTTTGTGGGTTTGATTGAGATTGCTTTTGTCTTTGGACTTCTTCTTGTTTTTGATGGATTGAAGGATCAAAGAGAGGTAAGGGAGGTTTGAAACCAGGAGATGTATGTCTTCCCCTCTCTCCTCTGCTTCTTCTGCTTCGTTTTGTGATGAGTGTTTCAGATTTCTTTTGATGCATTTATAGGTAAGTGTGGCCTGTGTGATAGAGTGTTGCCATTTGAGATCAAATTTGTTGATAACACTGTAATTTTCAAAAACTTCAAATTCAATTCTGTATTGCCATTTCAGGTTTTGGTTTAGGCAGAGAACTGAATATAGGAAGATGGGAGGAAAGAAACTACCTATTCGTTGACAATGCTCTTCAATATAGTACCCTCATCTTTTCTTGGATTTACACAAATGCCACTCTCTCTTTTTATGGTCTAGCCCCCAAAAAAAGTAAGCGCTAATTTTTTGTCAAATTATATATATATGAAAAACGAACTAGGCCCGCGCCTACAGAAACTTAAACTATCCATGTTATGATTGGCCTTCCTTTTTATTTTATTTTAATACTTGAACTATTATATATTTGAATTGAGAATTTTTCTATTAGATTTTAGTCCTTATTATCATCGAATGAAAAGTTTGGTTGACATACAACCTTTCGTATTAATTTTAAACTCACCGGATTTAAGTGCTTAAAATTAAAAAAATTTCATATGAAAAAAATTAAACTCCAAAGTTATACATTTGATTTAAGTTTAAAAATGATTTTGATATTGAAATCTTGTTTGCAAAGTTAAAAGAATTATTTTAGTAGCTTTTTTATCTGCTTTGCCTTAAAGTGGTTTTTGCTCTTATGAATTAAAAAGCTAAAATAAATTTAACACTAAAAATTTGAAGTAAATTTTTTTTATCTAGTGGTATAATAGTTATTCTCATTGGTAAATTCATTACTTTAGTGAGTAAACTATAAATCAGTCCCTTTAGCTTTATAAAAAAAATTAAATAGTTTTTTAATTTCAAAAATCAATTAATTAGTCTATTTATTAATGTTGATAATGTTTATTTTAATATTATTTTTGTTCAAAAAAATATCTTATTTTTTCGTTAATTTTTCCATGTCATCTGTTTATTTTTTTTGTTTCTTAAAATAAAAAAATAAATAAATTTAAAAGAAATATAAAATGGATAAAAAATTAAATCACAAATAAAAAATAAATAATTAGTTTTTGAAATTAGAACTATTTAATTCTTTTTACAAAACTAAAAAGGACTCATTTGTAATTTTACTGTAATTTTCACTTAATATTCGATATTATCGTCAACAAATTAAAAATTTGTGAGTGGTATTGTCGTAATTTTCAGGAAAAATGTGGGGATAATTAATTGAAAGGTTCGTCCGTAATGATAATTAATATGCTGGGGATCAGTCGTTGCTTCTCCTCGTGCAACGGAGACGAACCCTGTCAAACAACGTTATGAAATGCCATAAATTAGAAACTAAGCAAAATAAGATGAAATGTTCTTTTTTGCCCTTTTTGCTCTAAGGATATGAACAGATTTATGAGCTCTTTCTTTTGGTGCCAACACCAGTATAATTCTCGACAATGAATACAGTATACGTATAGAGTGGATGTATAGATAACGTGTACGTATACATAAGTTTCTGCACAGTTGTACTGAAATTGAAAATATTTAAACCTTTTAATGTCATTTTTATTTAGTTTATTTTTTATAATATCCATAAACAATTCTTCCTCCGTAATTTTTCACGCGACGCAATCGCTTTAAATGCTAGGAGTAGATTGAGAGGCTAAAAACAAATTGTGCCTTCAAATTCTTCTCAAACAAGTAGGATGTGACACAGAAATATAGATATTTATAATTTCTAAAAGATATTTGTTTCTTTTTTGGTGAGTTTTTCTCCAAATATCATGCCAAAAATCAACCCAATTGATGGGGGAAATCTCATAATAAATCCATAATTTTGTTTTACAAATGCATCACCGATAAATTTATCAATAAAAGGATAGGAATTACAACGTAGCGTATGCCCACCATTATTAAAATATCTATAATTAAATCCATGGTAGTGTTTTAAAAGACTGCAAATAGTTTTGTGATTCCATTCTGGGCACTAATATCTATCAAAAAATGATTCTACTTAGTTATCATTCCATTGTTTGGTGTTAACAAACTGTCACTTCGCTAACATGCACTGTGTAATGGAGCTTCCCGATGATAGTGATTTCCAATCTCCAATAATTTATTCCACCCATAATTTTTTTGTATATCTTATTACGAGAATTTATATGATTGGAGGGGGAGAGGGGGAGCATAATTATTTTAAAAAAATGATTATTCAGTCTTTTGTTTTACAATTATATGGCAAATGCTTTGCACGTAATGGTCATTAAGATCATAACCTGTTATTATGTTCATCAATAGCTAATAGGAACTCGTCGCTATCCGACGCTCGGACGGGACTCCCAAAAAAAAAAAAAATCTCTCCCCGATGGAATCATTAGTTTCGGATCTTTATTTTATTTATAAAACTATTTGCGAGTTTGGAGTCGCCACCTAGTATTGAAGGAACTAGGAACCTAAAATTGGCACTAGTTCGGAGATTCTATGGTAAAGAGTCGGTTACGCTTATGGGAAGATAATTAATCACCCAAAAGTGCCCTTTACTAAGAAAGGTACCACATCTAGCTTAGTCCTAAATTATCTCAAAAAATATTTTATTTTTGCCAAATTATTTTTCAATTTTTGAGACTCCAATTTTTCAAGTCAAATTAAGTTTTTTATTTTGGAGCGTGGCATCGTATTGAAACGATCGTCGAACCCCTTCCGTCGGGAGACACGTCGGCTCAAACATCGGATCCACTTTTTAGTCTCGACACAACCGGTGTGCCGGAGAACACTTGTTTATTAGAAAAACTTTTTTTTGACTAACAACGATCCTATCGGATAGGAGACTTTGTTAAAAAGTTTTGTGATTTTATTTTTTTGTTATTTTTCTTTCTTTTATTTTATTATTATATTTTTTTTATTTTTTATTTATTTATTTCTTTTTAAGAAGGGTTATCATCGATCCCTAAAACTTAGGAGACTTGACAATCTTCTACTTATTACTTACCGAACCTAATTACTAAACAAATAAATTAAATCTACATGAATTAAATAAAAGAAATCAAATACCGAAATTTAAATTAGTAACGAGCATACATAAAATAAATTCCAGATTAAAAATTACATTAATTAAAATAATACAAACAATTCAATAACTAATTTTAATACGAAATAACAAAATCCCTATAAAAAAATTCACTCTTTTTTCTTACTCTTTTTTCTTTTTCTTTTTCTTTTTTTCTTTTTTTGGGTTTGAGTCGTCCAGCCGAATTTCTCTTCTTTTTTTTATTTGCGGATCTGGACTGAAATTTCAGTCCAGCCCATTAACTCGTGGGTTGGGCCAAGCCCAACTCACACCATTTAAAACAAAAAAAAAACCCAAAAACCAAACCCAAAACCCATTTCAACGATAACTTAAGATCAAAAGCCCCTTTTTCTTTTTCTTTTTTTCAATTTCCCTTTTCTCCTCTCTCTTTCCCGTTTCTCTTTCTTCTTCTTCTTCTTTTTTTCCCTTCTCTCTACTCGATCGCCATGGACGAACCGGGTTCGTCCCTATTTTTTTCGTTTTCTTTCGTTTTCTTCTCTTCCTCCTTTCCCACACCCCTCTCTTCTTTCTTTTCCTTCCCTTTCTCCTTTCTCTCCCTTTCCCGTCTCCCTTTTTTTTGTAACACGCTGTTGCTGCCATGGACGAACCAGTGGAGGTTCGTCCATGGCAGCTTGATTTTCCCTTTTCTTTCTTTCTTCTCCCCTTTCTTTCCTTCTTTCCCTCGCTCAAACAAAAACCCCCAAATCAATTTCTAAAAATTCTCCCCAATTCGATCGAACCCTAATTTTTCAATTCTTCAAATTTTCATGCGATATTGCCTTGATTAGATTGAAATCAAGTTAATTCACACCCTTTAGGACTCAATTTTATCAAAACCCCCAAATCTATTCTTCAAATTTTTACAATTTTGAAAAAATCCCAAATTTTAAATCGGACTTAAATTGAAACAAAAAACGAAATTAAAGAGAAATTAGAGGGATTACCTAAAAGAATTGGTTGGAATGGATGTGGACTCGCCTTTAATTCGAGTAAATTTAATTTCCTTTTTTTTTTTTCGAATTTTCTCTCTTTTTTTCTTTACCGCTCGATTTCCCTTTTTCTTTTCAATCGCTAACTCTCTCCCGATTTTGCAAGCTTCACTCTTAATTAATTTGTTCTTGGATATCAAACTAAAGAAAAAAAAATCCCCCCTCCTCTCTTTTTTCTCGTTACTATCCGTGTGTGTATATATATGTGAATGTGGCTTGATTGGTTCCCCCACTATGATGGTGGGGGATTTTCTCGTGAGTTTTCTAGAGTGGGCGTGTCCGACCATTTTTTGGTCCTAAGGGATGGCTATGGCGAGGTCGGTAAGGGGAAGGTAGTGCGATTGCTTGCAATTTGCGGCATGGTGAGGTTGCAGGAATTGGGGGATTGCTCCGGAGATTGCTAGATATGAGGGAAGTTGTCCGGAGGGACCGTGGGAGTTGTGTGGTCGAAGCGAGTGAGGCCGCTTGGAGGCACTCGTGGAGGTTGTATGGTGATGCAATCGCTGAAATTTGCGGCAGTAGGGTGGTCGCGGTGTAGAGCGGTGCCGAAATTGTTGACTTGAGAGGAGTTGGGCAGCTGCAAGTTGAAAATTTTTTCTTTTGTTTTGTATTTTTTTATTTTATTTTATTTTTTGTAATTTTGTTATGAATTCTAAATAAATAAATAAAAGAAAAATTATATATATATATATATATATATGTATGTATGTATGTATTTTTTTTTTTTTGTCTTGATTTTATACAAAGCAAGCCTAAATTTAAATAATGAAAATAAAATAAAGAACACAAAAATAATACACAAAGGTAAAATTTTAGGGGATGACAGGAACAAATTATTTTCTTGTTGTTAGAAAATACGCACGATAATCAAGAGTATAAGATAAAATAACTAAAAGAGTATAACCACAATAATATTAAATTTACATAGAAAACTCTATCTATCATGTAAGAAAAAAAAATCATAGGATCAATTTTGAAATAATCTAT